CCCCGGCGCTGGGAGCGCCGGCCCCGGCGAGGGCGCGGGCGATGCCGCGGTGACGGCCCTGCCATGGCGAAGCCCCCGGCGGCGGCGGCGGCGGCGTCGGAGGAGCTGAGCCAGGTGCCCGACGAGGAGCTGCTGCGCTGGAGCAAGGAGGAGCTGGCGCGGCGGCTGCGGCGAGCCGAGGGCGAGAAGGTGGGCCTCATGCTGGAGCACGGCGGCCTGATGCGCGACGTGAACCGGCGGCTGCAGCAGCACCTGCTGGAGATCCGCGGCCTCAAGGACGTGAACCAGCGGCTGCAGGACGACAACCAGGAGCTGCGCGAGCTCTGCTGCTTCCTCGACGACGACCGGCAGAAGGGGCGCAAGCTGGCGCGCGAGTGGCAGCGCTTCGGGCGCCACGCGGCTGGCGCCGTGTGGCACGAGGTGGCCCGCTCGCAGCAGAAGCTGCGCGAGCTTGAGGCGCGCCAGGAGGCCCTGCTGCGCGAGAACCTGGAGCTCAAAGAGCTGGTGCTGCTGCTGGACGAGGAACGCGCGGCGCTGGCGGGGGGCGCGGGCGGCGCGGGCGGCGGCGGCGCCGGCTCCCGCAGCTCCATCGACAGCCAGGCCAGCCTGAGCGGGCCGTTGGCGGGCGGCGCGGCGGGCACCGGGGCCCGCGACGTGGGCGACGGCAGCAGCACGTCGAGCGCGGGCAGCGGCGGCAGCCCGGACCACCACCACCACGTCCCGCCCCCGCTGCTGCCTCCAGGGCCGCACAAGGTCCCCGACGGCAAAGCCGTCGCCACGCGCAGGTCCCTGGACGACCTGTCGGCGCCACCGCACCACCGAAGCATCCCCAATGGCCTGCACGGTAAGGACGAAACCGGCGGGGCAGCGCGGGTCCCAGCCCCTGCACCCGCGGGCGGCCGCCACTCCAGACCTCTCCTCCAGCTGGCATCCAGACTCCGGGCAGGGAGATCCCACGCACACCCCCAGGAGAGCTTTGGGTGGCCTTTTTCTGGTCAAGTGAGAGAGGCGTGTCCCTGCCCAGCTTCTAAGCCGCAGCTCGGCGGGGACCCACAGGACCCCATAAAAGTTTCTCTCTTGCAGAGTTATTAGTATGAGTGTCGGGGCTGGCAGGGCTGGCTGGGGGCGCCTCATCCCCAGCCTGGAGAGCCTTGTCCGGGAGTGGGAAATTCTTCATGGAAAGAAAAAAAAAAAAAAGAAAGGCCCTTTTAGCATGAGTGACTTTTCCCTCTTACTGGGAGCAACAGGCTTTCCCCAGCCCGAGCTCCATCCACGTGTGTGTGCTGGGGCTGGGATTCCGCCTGAGCCGCCTCCTGCTGCCTGCAGGCTGGGCCGGAGCACGGGCAGCCGGGAGGAGACCCGGAGGCAGCTGGGCCGGAGGACCCGGGCTTGCTAATTGCCCTGCACTTCTCAGGGTTGGGGAGACCTGTCTCAACGGAGGCTCTAACTTTCCAGAAGGACCTGTGTGCTAGGAATGGATGCTTGGCCCGTGTTCCTCTGCATGCCTCAGTTCCTTGCCTGTAGAACGGAGATGGTGATCCCCGCCTCCAGGATCTGAGGCGGAGAGAGCCTCAGAAGGGATTTGTAGACTGTTGGTAGCCTTTCAGGAAGTGTCATGGTGTTAGGTGGCCAGGGTGTGGGTGGGAGGACCTTTGGTCTCAGGAAAGCACAGCTGCTGTCTTCCGTGCCAGTGTGACTGACTGCTGGGGCCCATGCAGGGCACCCCCAGCTTGGGTCTGTGGAGGGGTGCGGTGGCGCCCATTCCCAGCCCCTCTGATCATTTGCTGCCTCCTCCCTGCTGCCTCACTCCTTTCCTACCTCCCTGTTCGTCCACATTTTTGGTGGCTTGGCTCCCAGTTCTGGTGACAATTGCTGCTACCTGAACTGTTTGCCCAAAGGTGGAGATCAAACAGTCCTTTCTGGTTCTTTTACAGGCTTTCCTAGTTCAGAGAAAAATATATCTAGGCCTTAAATGACTGCTCTTCCTCAAAGCGACAGCCTGCGCAGGGGAGGGACCGCTCTCTAGTTTGGTGGCCAAGTGGCTTGTGAAAGGCGCCTTGGGGTCGGGTCTGGGGTGGGAACTGGACCCAGGAGGTGGGGTGATAATTAGTGTAGGACAGTTTTTCCCTTATTTACCTTTCCAGCCTGTGAGTTCAGGGCAGGACCAGGTTGAGACCCATATTTTGTTACCGATTAGCAATCTTTGACTACAACTCCGGTTACTTTTTGTAACTCTGTATCCACCCCCACCTTCAACCACAGGCTCCTTAAGGCCAGTGGCAGTAGTTCAGTTAGGTGGTTTAACCGTGTTGGGATTTCAGGGTCTGGGGAACGAGGAGCCCCAGTCCTGGCCTCTCTGGCCTCACCTTCTGGGGGGCCTTGGGAGAGTCAGATTTCTGGGCCTGGGTTTCCCCAAGTGTAATACGAAGGAAGGACTGCTGCAACCCTGGGACTGGGAAATGAAATGTTTTCAGCTGCGTCATCGATGACACCTGGCAAGAGTGGTTCTCTGCAGAGCCCTGAAGTGCTTGAGTGTTTAGCATATTTGCAGAGAAGTTCTGTCACCTTTTGGACAAGGGGACTCGAACCCTGTCTGGCTGTGTGCCAGTTGCAGCAGCCAATGATGCAGGCATGGAGGAGGGGGCTAGGCCTGAGGATTTCCACCCCAAGGGGGTGGGTGGGGTTGAGGTGTAGGGTTTCCTGCAGAATCCATCTGCCCCTCCCTCAGCCCCCCCCCCCCCCCCTGACGACTGGATTCTCTAGTATACCATCCCTGCCATCTCTTTCCTGGCCCCCCCCCCCCCACACACACACTTAGGACAGGACTGCTGCAGGCTTTGTGGTGGCAGAGCTGTGCTTTGGGGTGAACTGAACATTCAGCATCAGTGTCACAGGTCTCAGTTACTGACAGCGCTGCTACTGTTTAGTTTTGTCTTTTAAAGTCATGGGTGGCCTTGAGATGTTCTCCCAACAATATGAATAGGGTGCCTGGAAATAAGGAAAGGCCCTTCTCTTAGAAACGCCTTTTCTGTCCTCGTAGTTTTGAGTTGAGTGAAGGGCAGGCTGTAGATAAAATAAATAAGGAGCCTCAGCCTGAGTGGAGGACAAAGTGGAGTCAGACTTGGGGCTTGTGCCTTTTGGCACTGGTCTCAGCTCCTCCTCCCAGGAGCCCCGGGAAGTTGCATTATCCCCATGTTAGAGACAAGCAAGTGGACAGAGGTTTTGAGCATCGCCTGGGAAGGCAGCTGAGATTGGAAGGGTCTCGGTTTCAGTTGCCTGGGTGGGGCTGCTGGGGTCCTCCCCTGCTCAGCCCATGGGCTGGCTTGCATCTCTGGCCTATTGTCCTGTTGGCTGACACTGGTACCCAGCAGATACTGGTGGCTCCCTCTTCTTGATTCCTGACCCAAGTTTGTCCTCATTCTCCCATCCCCGGCAATGTCACTTTCTTATCAGTGACCACTGAGCACTGGTTGAAAACCCCATTACAAAGGGGCCAGGCTGTCTTGGGTTCGACTCCCCTCTCCTCTCTGGAAGATACTTAAGTTTCTGGAGCCTTTCTCTGCTCTTCTGTAAAGTGTAAATCCAGAGCACCCCCTTTATCCACAGGAGGTCAAGGGAGGTCAGGGTCTGCACACAGTAGGTCTCAGCAGGTGTCAGAATCTTTGTCATGAAGATTTCTTCCAGTGCCCCTGGATAGGGACCCCTTTGGGGGCTTGCCAAACAGACTTCGGTGTTGGTTCTCTTTACAACTTTGTTTGCTGTTTAGACAGACAGCTCATCTGAATATTGGTGTCTGAGCCCATGTCTGGCTGCACCTGCCAATGTGCCTTAGGAACAGTGGCCCTGTGGTCCTCTCTTGGGAGCTGTAGGTTACCTGCAGCTGAAGGGGTGCCCTGGGAGGCCCCAGGAGGCTGCGGTGGGAGGTGGCCCATCTGTATTCAAGGCAGTCTGTGGCTGGGCCATGCCGGTGGGCCTCTGACTGCAAATGCAAATAGACCTTTCTCCCCCTCGATTTTGACCAAGGGCTGCACAAGGGCACTGTTTGCTCTAATCCAGTGGGGCAAACTGAGGCAGGTGAACCCCAAACCCGAGAGTCAGGTTTGCCCCTTTGAGCCGATGTGATTTTCAAACAAAAGTATTTCCAGCAATTTCTCCCGGGGCCCTTCCCTCTTCTGCGTGCCCCTCCCCCCATGTCCCTGTGCCTGTTAGTGCCCTGTCCCCTCCCCCCACCCCTGGGGCCCACTCCCCTTTTAGCTAACCTAGGGAAACCAGAACCTCCAGCAGGCCTTTGTATGGCCCTCTTTACTTTTGAAAGTTTGGATTAAAAATTTGAGCTTCTCAAAATAAGATAGGTTTGTTCTTCGGCTTGTGTTTTTGTTGGTTTAAAGGGAGGGTGGAGCGAGGGTGGTCTGGGCCTTTAAAAAAAGACAGAGCTGCTGGCCCTGAATAGGGCTTTCATGGGAGGCCTCCCAGCTCAGGGCCTCCAGTGCAGGACTGGCTAATAAGGAGGCTTTTCCTAAACCCAGCCTAGCCTGGAGCAAAGGTCAGTGCAGACAATGGGGCGGGTTAGATAAGCCTTTTCCCTCCCTCCCCACGCTGACCTGACCATCCATCAACAGCCTTGGGGTGCTGGCCTCGCACTAAAGGAGGGCTGGGCTGGTCCAGAGGAGCTCATGGGCTGGTCCAGAGGAGCTCACGGGCAGGTAATCAGGGGCCAGGTAATCAGGGGCCGCCAGGGTGTGCCCAGCACTTCACAGTTTGCTACAGAGAGCACCCCAGCCCCAACCCCATTCTGTTCAGAGCTCCCAAATGGTCCCATATTGTAGATGGGGAAACTGAGGCTTGGAGACGTGCAGTGGCTTGTTCTGGGTCCTGCCGGGCTGGTGGGTGGGGGTCTGGGATCAGGCTTGAGTCTTCTGTGTCAGAGTCAGCCGGGTGCCCTGTGCCTGCTGCCCCTCTGAGTTGGCACAGTCTGGCTTCATGGGACAGGGAGGGACTCCCACGAGAGGCCTCCCCAGAGCCTGGGCCTCAGGTGGACACAGGACAGGTAGGGAGGCGGCTCCAGGGGCGGGGCCTATGTGACAAAGGTGTGGCGCCTTTTGTCAGGAAGTGGGACCCTGAGCCTCATCCTGCCCTCCTGTTACCTCAAGAAGTGCGCAGGTAAGATAGACGAGGCAGGCACGGCGAGGCGTGTGTGTGTGTGTGTGTGTGGGGCGTCCTCACTTCTCTGCCAGGGTGGCTTCCCGGTGCTGTGGGGACCACCATACCTCTCCCCCGTGGCCTGGTCTCTGAGCTCTGAGGATACAAACATGGTTTAATATTGTCCCCAGAGCAGCACGAATAGCAAGGAAATCTTTTATTGCTCACAATCTGTGTTTCCCCGTGGGGACTTTCCACACCATGCTTGTCAGGTCATCAGCACAGAGAATTGAGAGCCTGGGACTTAGGCGAGTTCCGGAAACGGGGGCCTCTGTTTTCTCATCTGCAAAGTGGGAAGCCGTTACCAGCCTGAGAGTTGAGGGGAAAGGAAGCATAGCGATGTGTGTAAACCGGGAAGGGTAGGCGTCCCCCCCTCCCGGCCAGAGCACTCAGTGCTGGGTGAGCTTAGGGGCGCTGCAGCCTGCTGGTTAGGGCTCTGGCTTCAGGTCAGAGAGGCCTTGGCAGCCTTGGCCCTGCCACCTGCTGTGTGTGTGGCAGCTCCCTGAACGGCTAAGCCTCAGTTTCCTCATCTGTGTCCTGAGGATAATAATACTTTGCTTGGTCCTAGAGCCAAGCCTAAAAGGGTGGGTTGGACCTCCACTGCCACCTGGACCCCTGCAGAGTTGCTTTCTGGCATGGGGATGG